GGAAAAACTGAAGGAACAAAACAGCAGCAGACTCACAGAATCCAAGAATGGACTAACAGTTACCAAAGGGAAAGGGACTGGGGAGGGTGGGTGGGAAGGGATGGATAAGGGGGAAAAAGGGGCATTATGATTAGCACACATAACATAGGGGGGTGGGCACAGGGCGGGCTGTACAACACAGAGAAGATACATAGTGATTCTCTAGCATCTTACTATGCTGATGGACAGTGACTGCAATGGGGTATGTGGTGGGGAGTTGATAATGAGGGGAGTCTAGTAACCATAATGTTGTTCATGTAATTGTACATTAATGATACAAAAAAAAAAGAGAGGACTAAGAATGTTTACATGACATCATATCCATTCCACTAATGCATTACAGTTGAGGCAACACCATATATAATTATATATATAATTATATAATTCCTGTCCATAAATTCTTTTATAAACCCTGCTATATTGCCTGCAAGTCTTCTATAGTATCACTATAGTATCACTAATTATATTGCTTTCTCAGTTCTCACTAAATATTTAAGTTTTAACAATATATTAACCATCAGGGTCCAGCAAGTGCAAACTTTCTACTGCCCCATGGCCATTTGACCAACACCAGTGAAAGTGGACTTGAGGTCCCAGCAGGGGCCATGAGACCCTGGCGTGCCCATCACTCAGAATCATGATCCTCTGCGTTTCCCTGCTATAATCACAGCAGGTTCTGAAAAGATTACAGATGTCTTTGTTTACAATCTTAACACTTAAAAAAAATGTATTAAGACTAGGGTGAATTGAATTTGTCTCAGTTCTTTGAACAGATTACCTATTTCAGTGTTCCATCAAAATTTTAGCAAGTACTCCATCCATTTTATCCTTTTTAATGTCACTTTTAATTAACTACCTGGACATTTTTACCAGATTCAGTTCTCACGTTGCTTCCACCTCTTTTATTTATATTATCTTTCTTCTGAATAATCCTTACCTTTTCTCCCAGCATTAAGCCCCACTCGAGACAACTGAACATGCAGATCCACATCTTGCCTCATGTCATACTGTCTCCCCTTTCACCATGACATCAATCGTCAACCAGCTCAAAGGGACTGAGATGGAAGTCAAGGTATCGCACTGGATCTCAGGCTGTGATTCAGCTCTAATAGCCTCCAGCTACTTCTCTCATGCCTTTATTCTTGGAACAGGGGAGCAACCACGAACCATGTTCTTGGCTGACATCCCCTCACTTTGCATTTCATTTGCGATCTATTTAGCATGGACTGACACACCCCACATTCACTCATGTTTTCCTTCCTGTTTGAGTGTAACACTTGTGCAAATTCAACTCAGGGATGGCCTGCTAACAAAACTCCCTACTTACCAGCCTCTGCCATCTTTCTTTCTGCAAAACCCATTAGTTATTACTTGAATTAGAATCAGGGGTCATACCATATATTTCACCCTCATCACCAACTGCAACTTTCCTGAGTACTGTGATTTGAAATACTTGCAAGACTCCACAGATCATATTCATATGAGGTTTCCTTAAAAGAAAGGATGTGACAAGAGGAAGAAAATGCAGGACCACATTAGGGGTCAGACAGACACCCAGGCAGTCTCCCCAGTGCTTATTCACACATTGATCTGATTCACTTCCTGATTAAGCCACAAATATCTTAGTATCTGACTTGAGTGATAAATCCTGGTTTCAAGAGAGTCTAAGTAAGAAGATACTAGCAGGAATGTTTTTTCATTATGCAAAATCATTTAATTTAAAACATTTTTTTTTTTACTTTAGGATTCATTTTCACAACATTGGTATAGAAAAGTATGACTTACAATAATAGTTTTCAAGATCACATGTGAAATGAAAAATGTTTATTATAATGTTCAATATAATGTTCATTATATTAAAAGCCTTGTTCTTAAGTATAATCCATGCTCTCCTTCAGCTATTCAAAACATTTTGTATTTCTCTTTTTTTTTCTGGCTTTATTGACAAAATTATATGTATTTAAGCTTTACAACTTAATGTTTTGATATACATATACATTGTGCATATTTATCATTGAATAAAGTATTGCCTGGTACATAAGTGCCTCAATAAAAAGAGTTAATTTCTGGCCACAGATTCTCCAGAGACCACACCTCTTTTACCCTACTTCTGGCCATTGCTGACCTACCTAAGAGTTAAGATGCCTGATGTACGGTGGGCTGATTAGTTTTCTTTACTGGGAATCACCAGCAGGGATTTTTATGCCCTTCCGGTAACCATCAAGCCAGACCACTAACCATTATGTTAACTGGAAACCAAAATGGCCCTAGGTGTTATCATGGGATTTTTGAATTTTAAACAACACATAATAAATCCCAATGTCCTGATCTTAATAATGTGTAAAAAGCCATTTATCCAGAAGTCCCTGAGAAAAACCTAGAATTTTTTCAGCCCAATTTGAAACCAATGTACAATATATCAATGTTTGTGAGATATTGGTAATATAGATTATAGGGAAACTTAAATAATAAATGACTATATTAGAGGGTACTTTTCAAATTAATAACACCTTAAGATTAAGTTCACTTAATCTTCACAATAACACTTCAAATTAAGTTCACCTTAAGAAAACAGGAAAAGGACAAATTAAGTCCTAGTCAACGCTACTGTTTACTGCACCATCTCTCTCTTCACGCCTTGGGAGATGTGGCCCTGCCTCAGTAGCAGCAAAAATTGATGCCCAGTGAAAACCATTTCTGCATGAATCACCAAGAACACTGGATAAATCATGAAAGACATACCCCTGCAATCCTGGCTCTCCCTTCTCTGACCCTGTTTTCCTGCCTGTACAGCAACAGCCTTGACCTGGACCATCCCGAGTCTAAGGGAATCCACAAATCCAGCATCTTTATCCTTCAGGTGACCTTTGCCATAGGAGAGACGTAACTCTGAATCCATAGATTTCTTTGCCCTCTGATCCTGTGCCACAGCAGGGTGGGGATATCTAGGCAGCTACCTTTCAGGGGGCACCTCCCTCTAGTCTGTCATCTCCCCAACTCCATATCAATCACACATAGTGCTTCTGTATCAATTCATTTCCCGTTTAGCTCCTGAAGGCCTTCCAGCCAGTGACATCCGCCTACTGAACAGAGGCCAGCTTCCTCTTAACAGTGCTTGGGAATGTGGAACATTCCATGGAAGAAGGCGGCAGGCTCACACCACTCCCAGAGGCACTGGAGGTTATGACACCTGCCCTTCCTCAGTTATTTATGGACCCACAAATAAAACTAGCATCTAGGTCACAGGAAACATTTCACAAAGCTCTACGATGTTGCCTAGGCCTCAGGTAATGATGCAAATTCAGCCAAAACCAGAGTGAGGACCACTCTCTGCCATCATACTGTCCTCTCTGTGACATAAATATCTGGGCATTCCCACAAAATACGCTTATCCTTTCAGGCTGGTAGAACACAACTGTGTCCTCAAAACACTCCTCATGATCAGAACCTTCAAGATTAAAAGCAGCTCAGAGAATAAGGACTTTATTATTGCACAAACATGAGCAGTGAGGCACGCAGTTCAAGGGCTGGGTATAGTGGAGACTATACATCCACTGCAAGTGTCACATGAGACCAGAGTCCACAAAGGCAAACCTGGGCAAGCTTGAGAACCCACCTTGTGCGCTGATTCTTTCCATGCACAAACCACTCAAAAGGGAGGACACGGGGACACCCATAGGCCACTGCCAGGGACTGAACCAACAGCAGAGTTTGGCCCGCCATGTGTGCTGGAACGACTGCCACAGACTGTGAGACTTTGCCAGATGGTAGCAGTGGGATGGATTCCGCCAACGGCAGAAGCACGTGGTCTAGGATGTGCAAGACGGCTCCTGGAAGGACCTCACGTCTGTGTACTCATAGGGAATCTCCCAGGGGTGGGTGCTCACGGGTATGGGGTTCTACTCCTCCGTGATGGCTCCCTCATAGTGCCTGCTCGCAGAGCATCACCTCGGCGAGTGCTGTTAGGCTGCACAGCGGGACAGCACATCCCTTGTACTGCTAAGACCTCTGCCCAGTGCAGACTTCCCGGTGCTGAGTAAGATTTGGTCTTTGGGTAAAGGCTTTCTTATATCTGGGCACTCATAATACTGCTAGGAATTCTCCACCATGCCATAAGTAGGGAGTGTCGGCTAAAGGACTTTCCAAATTTGCTGTAGCCTTAAGATTTTTTGCCAGTGTGAATCTTCTGATGGAGAATAAGTGTGTGTTTGCGGTTAAACTCTTTCCCACATTCGCTGCACACATAAGGCCGTACTCCAGTATGAATCTTCCAGTGCCGAACAAGGTTTGGCCTTTGAGTAAAGGCTTTCCCACATTTGCTGCACTCGTAAGGGTTTTCTCCAGAGTGGACTTTCTGGTGCTGAATGAGTTTGGAGATGCAGCTAAATGCTTTCCCACATTTGCTGCACTCATAATCATTGCTGTGAATTCTCCAATGGACATTAAGGTGGGAGCTTTGGCTGAAGGCTTTCCCACATTCGCTGCACTCATAAGGCTTTTCTCCAGTGTGAGTTCTCTGGTGCAGAACAAGTGTGTGTTTGCGGGTGAACTCCTTCCCACATTCACTGCACATATAAGGCCTTGCTCCTGTGTGGACTTCCTGGTGTCTAACGAGGTTAGACTTACTACTAAAGAATTTTCCACAGTTACCGCACTGATAGAGCCTTTCACCCGTGTGAACTCTCCTGTGTTCAATAAGGCCAGAGACTTGTCTAAAGAATTTCCCACAATCGCTGCACTTGTAAGGCCTTTCGCCAGTGTGTATTGTCTCATGTTTAAAAAGGTCACAGCTTTGCCTAAAGAACTTGCCACATGTGCTGCACTCATAAGGTCTTTCTCCAGTGTGGACTCTCTGGTGCTGAGTAAGTGTGTCTCTGCGGGTGAACACCTTCCCACACTCACTGCACTTGTGATGCCTCTGTCCAGTGTGAAGGACTCCCAGGAGCTCAGTACTCTTGTGGGGTTTCATCTTAATAGGGGGAACCTGGTGCTGAGGAAGGCCAGAGGTGGCTGGGAAGCCCACTCCACCTGCACCATATGTGCAGATCTCTGGCACGTAGGTTCTGCAGCTTTTCAGGGAGTCCCTGCCCTCGTCCTTCCTGAAGGGCCTCTCTGCACTCCGCTGCTCCTGGTGCTGAGGACAGTTATCACTGGGCCAGAACTGCTCCCCACACGCCCCGCAGGTGAGTGGCTGATGCCTGGCTTCTCCCCTCTGGTAATCGGTCAGGAGTGACCTGTCTTTCAATACTGGGCCAGACATGTCATGTGGGTGGGTGTTCATGCCTGCCACAGGAGTCCTGACCTGCGACACTCCTTCTGAGGAAACAGTCTGCTCGGAGGATGTATCTTTACTGTCCACTCCACACCAACAGCCTGAAAGCAGAGATGTGCCAATGAGAGGCAGGCTGACTTCAGTGGAGGGGCAACCCCATCGTGATGTGTGTATGGCCCACCCAGGAGTAAGTCCATGGGACTGTTTCCAAGACAAGAGAGGCAGGGACAAGGGGGGAGAAAGGGTTGCTAAGCAATAATGGGCCTCTGAAGCTCACAGAATGGGGGCAGCCTCCTGAAGGCAAGGATATGCGGATGGATGGAGTACAGCAAAAGGCTTCCAGTAGGATGCTGGCTCTGCTGAAGGGCATGTGCAGGCCCAAGAAAGTCCAAATACAAGTGAGCAGCTGGTTTGCAAGGTCTGTTTAAGGATACATGCACATCTCATGACGCATTGAGGGCTGGCCAATGTTGCAGAACAATGCAGACAAGGGTATAAGGTAAATGTGAGAGACACAGGAGACGGCGAGGGGCTGGAAGTCAGACAGAAAGTAAGTCACAATGTCAAGAATGGGGAGGGTTGAGCAGCAGTGTTGTGTGGCTACCAGTCTTGAAACAAAACACTGGTGTGAACAGTCAATAATGCTGGTATTTTAACTCAACCTGGACATCATGACCTTTCCTGGTGTCCACTCACCAGGCCCAGATCCCTTCTGAGCCTCTCCTGCTGCTGCTGGACTCAGATCCACTTGGTCAGGCATCCAGGGCTCCTCCCCTTGCGCCAGCTGCATGACTAAGTGGGACCTGGAGGACGCAATTCCTAAGGGAGACACAGGACGGGTGAGCGGCCAGAACTGGCCCAGAGCAACCCACCCTATGACAGAGCACAGGTGAAAAAAAATCATCACAAAAAGAACCTCAAAAGGTTTTGCGGGAACAGCTCAGAGGTCCCCACAGCGGTGACTATGGGAGTGCCTATCACTCCTGATTTAACTGAGCCCCAGAAAACGCCCCCTAGAGGAAGGGAGCAGGGCCACGGGCACAGAGGTGCCATAATTCCAGACAATTATGCCAGCCCAGGAAATGAGCAAGACTAATGGGATCACTGGGAAAACCACATCTTGTGGTCTTCAAACCCCTGGCTGTGTGGCTTCCGGGCTCAGTAAGGAGCAAGGACACACCATACAGCTCAAGCCCGACACCCACGTTACCCATTCCAGGAAGCTCGGCGGGGAGGCGGTGGCCATGGTCTGGCCACGGGAAGGACGGAGCAGCCCCTGGGGAAAAGGACAACGAGAATGGGGTTGGTGGGAGGGCCTTACCCAGTGAGGCTAAAAGCGCCAAGTTCTCCAGCATCACATCCTGGTACAGGAGCCTCTGAGCCTCATCCAGGAGCCTCCACTCTTCCCGGGAGAAGTACACAAACACATCCTCAGAGGCCACACAGCCCTGCAGTGACACAGCCAGCAAGGTCCAGGAAGCCTCTTGACTGAGTGCCCCACTCGGCCTGTCTACACCACCTTGATCACCACTGCCCCAGGTCCCAAAGGCACAGAGGACATCAGGCACTGTGGCACCAGGGGTCCTCGCTCTCTCCCAATTATCCCCCCACCCACCCTGTGACTGCCACGTCATTCCATGGCTAACAAGCAGGCTGGCAGACACATGCCATTTAAGCTGAGCCTGGTACACAGCGGCCCACTTCCTCTCCTGGCAGTCAATTCCCCCAGGGAACCCCAGATCATGTCTCCTAAACATAATCCTGGGCCATCATTAGCCGAGGGGTGCGACCACGTGGTGCAGAGCCTTCTGGGTATTGTAGTCAACACTGTGCCTATGGCAGAAGGGAAACCTAGGTGGTCAGAGGGTGGAAGGCAAATAATCATTTACTGAGTGCCCACTGTGTGCTGAACATGCCAGTCACTCCCAAGCCCCCTCTCTGCACCTCATTGTGTCCTCGGTCTCCAGCAGGTGCCCCAGGTCCTGCACTGGCCCTGGCTACTATGGAAGGTCATGAACTTTAATTGCAGCATCATCCCTCCGAATTTTGGACTCTAGGAAAGCAGTCTTACCCTCCATTATGTGAAACGAAAACTGAAGATAGAACTTCCCTCACAGGCCTCTTTGAAGTCATTTACATGTTCCTCAAACATAAATGTCCATTCATTAAAATGGTAGAAAAAAATAGTACCTACGTCTTAGTGAGGTTATGTACAAAGCACTTAAAACAGTGCCAGATGCATGATCAGTGCTGGACACAGACTTCATCCCAAGGGACCTGGGTTCTCATGTCCTCACGTGGGGGGAGGTGGTCAAGGCTGCCTATCTGCAGAGCGAATTGGTTTTTTTTTTTGTATGTGCAAGTTTATAGTAGCTTTAAGCGTAACAGACAAAAACTAAAAACAATTCAGTTGTTCTTCACCTGGTGATGTGTATACAAAGTATGGCATATCCACACAAAGGAATTCTGCAGAGCAAATTTAAGGGTAGTATCTGTGAAAATTCAGATACACATAGCTCGGACCTATAGGTAGTCTTAACAGCAATGATTCAAAATTTTACAATGTGTACAATCTGTGCTATTTAAAATTATTTTGAGAAAAAATAATCACATATAGAATGATGTTATAAATAAATTTCAGGTAGTCTCTTGCACTAGGGATAGATTCTTCTGGCAAGATAATTCAAGATTTACAATCTCTATTTTTCCTTAGGAGATAGTACAGCATAGGGTTGATACCATTTCAAATTCTGTGGCACAGTTCTTCTGCACCTTACATTCAAACTCACAAACTTGAACTTGCATTAGAGCCAGTTAGGTGGTGTTTGGATTCAGACTGGCAATGGATTCTACACCGTGGTTGTAGCGTCTGGCTTCAGGGCTGGAGCACTGAGAGGATGCATACCTGGGTCTGCAGCCAGCAACCCCATTACTGATTACGGATATTGGGCACACCTCACTTCTCCAAGTCTCAGTTTCCCCATTTCTGAAATGGGGAAATACCAGTATCCACAGCACACAGTCACTGGGATTATTACCTGGGGAACTGCATGCCATCCTTAGGTCATTCTCCCAACAGTGCTTCACACCCTTCAAACTGGAGGACAGAAAAGTAACTCCACACCCTCTGAACTTGCACCCTTAATTCGGAGGGTTCCAGGTGCTCACCTCCTGCAGGAACCAGAACCTGCTCCTCCCTGTACTCCCACACTGGCTCAGGTGAACTGGCCCCAGATGCACCTGTGTGGTTAATGGAGGCTCAGCCTGAATTTAGATGACTCAAGCTCACCAGGCTGAGCCTCCAACGGGACACCATCACTGGGCACTGGAGACCAGGGTGGGGGGTACCAGAACCTTGGGAAGAAGGAAAAGTAAAACCACTGAATTCTATGGACTTCATTCATTATTCTGTTAATAAACTCTGTTTAGGCCATCTTTGATTTCTCTCCACAGCAGTGTTTTGCGGATTTCAACAAAACTTTGAAGTTTTAAATAATACTGAAACAACTTCACAGATTTCAATAAAATACTTGGGAATGAATATAATGAAAGAACTTGCACGTATTTCATTATATTCATTCCTAAATATTTCATATTTTGATGCTATTGTGGAGCTGGTTTGTAAAATTTCATTCAATTTTTGTTTTCTATATGTTTTCCTAAGTACTATTGACATGTAGACTACATTTCCTTTACATCTGTACCTGTCTACATACACACGTGTATTTACACATATATGTAAGGAGAGAGAGAGAACTTACACATAGCACTTTGCTACATTCACTCATTCTAGTGATTTTTCTGCATTAATTGATATGACCTGATTTTTCTTCTTTGGCCTGTTAATATGTTGGGTAACATTCTTTCTAATATTAAACCAGTCTGGCATCTCTGGAATAAATGTCTCTTGATCATGATGTATAATTCATTATACATATTTCTGAGTTGTATTTGCTAATATTGTCTCAATGCTATTTATGATTATATTCAGGTTAGTTCTAGTAAAATTTTCAGGTATCTTAAAATCCTTTACAACCTTTCTGTTAAGACAGTTGAATCTGGTAAGCATTTCTAAAATTTAAATGTGTTTGTATATTTTTTCATATGCCTGGTGGCCATCTGGATTACCTCTCCCATTCACTGCTCCTATTTCAGCCATTTAGATTTGAAGTCTTATTTCTTGTCCTAATTAATAGTATCCCCTTGTTATAGCCTATGTGTTGATCCCTTGGCAGTTTTAGACATTGGAGATACCCCTCAATCAGTCTTTCTTGACTTTAAATTTTGGTTGCCATGAGCTTTATGGAATAAAGTTCTGCAATTTTATTAGAAATATATTTATTTGTTTTCCACATATTTTATTGTTTAGTAATACATTTAAATTGCCCTCACCTATTAATAAAATTATGTTCCTAGTTTGTCTTCTATTAGATTCCCTTATTTACTTTATTCTTTGATAATTAAAGCATTCTGTAAAATTTATGTCTGTGGATTTTCTAAGATATTATTAAATTTCTAATTTAGTTTTCTTTTATTTAGAGAATATATTCCGTACTACTTCTATTTTAAAACTTATTGAAATTTATTTTATGTTCAGCATTTGGCTTATCTTGGTGAATGTTCCACATATACCTGAAATGAACGTGTATTCTGCTGGAGTCTGCCGTAATGCTTTATTCATACACACTGAATCAATTTACCTGGTACGTTGTCATGTCTTCTATATCCTTACTGTTTTTCTGTCAATTCTATTAGTTATTGAGGAAGGCATTTTGAAGGCCTATTCTTAGGCACAAATACTGTTAGTATTTTTATATCTTCTTGATTAAGTTATTTATTATAAAATATCCCTGCGTTATCTTTGGTAATACTACTTTTTCTGAAGTTGACTTTTTCTTATATTAATATTACCACTCCAAACATTTCATAGTTAGTAATCATGTCTTATTACAACTCCTTTCCTTTTAGTGTACCTCTATTTTTGTAATTAAGGGTCATTTATTATATACAGTGGAGTTTGCGCATGCATTTAATACAGTCTGACAATCTCTCCCTATTATTTAAGTATACAAAATATTTAAACTACAACTCTGAAAAGAATTGTGGATCCAAACGTACAAATTACTTTCACTTGTTTATCCTCTCAAAATGTGATAAATCAAAGAATACGCATATAGATAATATGAAGAATATAACATTCAGAAGATACACATTCATCTTGGTTTTACACCACTGAACATTTAAAAACTGTTGATAATGTTTTCTGAATTCGCTGTGAATATACTATATTTATTCACTATACAGCACTGTAATGTGATTTACAATATTTATTTGGTCTTTGTCCCATTCCAGGCATGTAGCGCCTAAAACCCTTGGTATTTCCCAAGTGATGAGCGTGATAAAGCGTCTTTTGTTTATGTTAAGGAGGTGACTTTGGGTCCACACAAGAAAAAAGTTTGGTTGCCAGAAGAACCAACCATGTGATTTATTACAGGGTTGGAATTTCAGTCCCAAATTCTGACGTCTGGGTAGGGTAGAAGGTCTGGAAAGTGAGTTCTACTGCCAATGGCCGAGGATGTAATCAATCCTGCCTATCTTAATGACGCTTCCATAAAAACCCAAAAGGATGGGGCTCATTCCGGATTGCTGCACACACGGAGATGTGGAAGAGCAGCCAGTCTGGAAAGGGTACGGAAGCTTTGTGCCCTTTCCCCATACACTGTCCCACAAATTTCTTACCTATAGCTGTTCCTGAATTAGATCCTTTGATAATAAACCTTTAATCTTATTAAGTAAAACGTCTCCCTTTGTTCTGGCTAGAAAATTAAGTACTTCACCCTCTGCTCTGTATCACACTGAGACCCCCAGATCTCCCAAATGCCCTGGTCAGTTGTTAACTCCAAGCATCTGCACAAGTCGGCCTCGTTGCCTGTCACTCCCCCACACACGTGACGCCATCACACACGCCGTCAGAAGGCCCCCCACCCACGAGCGCCTCACAGTCCTGCACACGGGGGCTGGGGCTACATGGATGTAAGCAGACACCCGTCGCTTGAGGCTTCAGGACTGGGAGGTGGCAGTGAGGACCCGGAGGTCGCGCGTTTACCTGTGCCAGGTCCCTCAGCAATGCCGCTGCCATCGGGGCTTGTGAGCAGAGCAGGGCAGAAGTGGGCGTCTAGGTCATGGGTGCGGCCACCACCAACCCAAGTCCTGCCCCCACCGCGGGGTCACCGGCGGGGGTCCCCACAGCCGAGCTGCCAACTCCTCTCTGTGCAGTAGGGACACCTCGAAATGTGCCTTCCCGATTCCTGTACCTGCAGCCTGACCAAGTATTCAGGACCCCTGACTGCCGTAGATCCTCGTAACAACCCACAAAATGTCCGTTGCTAAGAAGCTGCCGGAAGTCCCGCCCAGCAGCCTTCCGAATGCACGGAAATGCCCCTCTTCTGGGCCTCCATGGAACGTGTGGCGCATAGGCTTCTGGGTAATGTAGTTCTGAGTAAGCCCTTGGTCTTGATGCCTGCTTCCGGGCTTGAGTGTCTGGGGAAAGGTCACGTGCCACTCATACTATTTTGGCTACTTTACCACCCAGGAGGAGGAGGGAAGAGTTTCTGCCTCCCCCCAGCAACAACCCAGCCAACAAGAGACTGTTACAACTCAGCCAATGAGCAGCCATAACAGGTGGGCCTCCTGGATTCCTCCAATGGACTTTTTGTTTAGAACAGTCCCCCTTTCTTAATCACTTCAAAGATTTGTCTACAGTTGTGATTCTGTATTTCCTGAAGATAATAATCAATTGGAGGGGGAGGAAAAGAGGATATTTAGACAAGGTGAGAATGGTAAAATAAATAACTGCTCTCTGTTATGGAAATTAATTACTGTAGCATATATGTTAAATGAGTACCTACTAGTTCCAGGCAGTCTTAATCAACTGGGGCACACACAAATAGGGTTTCCATTAGTTCTATAAAGAGGAGATATCCTACATTTAATGACTTTTGGTCTTCATTCTTTATTGACTTTGTCAGGATGCCTGAAATGTCTGGATTCAGGTTTTCTCAATAAACTGCCAAAATTCCGCAGTTAGGGCTATTTTTCTACCACAGTGATTGGCACTTAACTCATTTAAATGGCAACTAGTCAAAAATCATATCTCTACACATAGAGATTGTAAGATAAATTCTAGCCGAAATAAGCAGGCGAAGAGAAGCAACAAAGGGCCAGGTAGTTTATTTGAAAGCAAATTCCCGGGTGATGTTCCTCGGTCTGGCTATCACAGGCCAGGGAAGTCACACACAGCAGGGCAGGCAGCGAGTTTTTAAAGAAGGCAGGGAGAGCTTAGATTTACAGCAGTACGAGGATTGGCTAGCCTGAGGCACATTTTTTCAGGTTGGGAGGGGGCAGCAGCCGGGGACTTTGGCACGTCATCAGTGTCTGACGTGTCACCCTCCCCCCAGTGCCTTCAACCTTCCAGAGATCAAGATAATTCCTTATGATCTCTCCTTCAGGTCAGGCTAAAGGAAGATCAATAGACGACATTTGGAATAAAAATTTTTTATTTTTTCATATTGAAGAAAGACAATCCTTTTAACAAAATCCTGAACAACTAACCCCAGTTACTTTGAGATAGCTGGGTATAAATACACATGTCTGAAAATCAAGCCATTAGTGCCAGCCTTATTCCAGTACTACACTTCTGAAAGTTAGACAATCGATAATCTAACTTCCTGAAAGTCAACCAACCAATGATAACTCCCAGTCTGGAAAGAGAGCCAACCAGGGACAATCCCAGGCTTCTAGCCAGCAGCCTCCTAGCAAATCCTCCCTCCACTGTCCATCTTTCTGAGAATAAGCTTCTGATTAGTTACAGAGCCAAAATTCCATCCAACCTTAAACACTCCCATTTATGAAGTGTTATGGGTCTCAGATGGGGCACGCCGGCGCAGGAGTAAGGAAACAGGTCCCCACAGAAAAGTAGGTTATAAAAGGGAGCCTTTATTTCAGCCGGCCGGCGACTGCCAAGGAGCAAGCTCTCCAAGTGCAGGCCCGAGCCCCTGTTACAACATCTTTTTAAGCATTGTTACCGCATCCCGCTTAGTTTTTGCAACTTTTCTGCCTTTGCCTGAATTCAGCAAGCTATATTCCTTGTTTAATGCTCGGGGGGCTTAAGCATCCTGTTTAGCCCACTTGCTGCAGGAAACGTGTGATACTGCAAAGCGATGTACAGAAGCAGAAAATAGCCTGGGGTTAGTTGAATATTCTGTTTCTCATGAGATTTATATCTTTTCCTTTAGTTTCTCAGAAGTTGGTACGTGACTAGGGTCTGGGGCTAACTTTACAAAGAGCTTTGTGTCCTATTTTTATGTCTGAAACTGCTTCAGCCCTTCACAGAAGTACATCAAGTGCAAAATACTGGACTTCCTAATAGTCTATATAAAAACTAGCTCAGTCTTTCCTTTGAGGAGGCTGTGCCTTACAGATACAGTTTCCTGTTGCAGGCGAACAGGAAGTTTACCTTTTGTTGCATTAGATATTTCCTATTGCTGTCGTAACAAATTTAGTGGCTTAGAACAACAGAAATTTATTATCTTACAGTTCTGGAGGCCAGGAATCTAAAATGGATCTTCTGAGGCTCAAATCAAGGTACAAGCAGGGCTTATTACAGGGGAGAATATTTTCCTTCCTCTCCCAGCTTCCAGGGGCTGTCCACATTCCTTGCATCTGAATCCATTTTCATGTTCTATCTAATTGTAGTCATGCCAGGGCTTCAGCAACGAGCTTTGGTGCCATGTATGTAAGGTTCCTTTGTCAAGGAGTCCTGGGAACTTCTCTCTGCCACCTCCTGACCATTCTACTCACACTTTGTTACAATTCTAAAATGTGTTACCATTTAAAGCTATAAATGAGCTTTTATAGAATCTAGGGGATGCCATGCGGAGTTTCCTATCTTCCTATTTTGCTTACACTTCTGTTGATTCTTTCTATTTTTGCTTCCAGTTCTCAAAATCACTGATGATACAGGCAAAGGGGACGTTTTCCATGGAAACCAGAGGCAGAGCTCCTGCTTGTCCACCTGCTTCAGAGGAGCCTAACATCCCTCTTCCGGCTTTTCTGTCAGGCCCTGTATAGAATCTTTTCTCTTCTACCTGACAAACATACTGAAACTCACAAAACTGAGTAACTTCAGGCTATATGCATTTGAAGAAGAATGACATAATGTTTTCAGCTATGGTTTTCTTGCTTATATATGTAAATGACTCTGATTCATATATATATAAATGATATGCCATTTAGATCAGAGGATTTGGAAGCAACTCAAATGTTTTTATCGCCTGGGAGCAAGCCGAGCCTCTTGGAGTCTCGAATAACGTCTCCTTGCCGCCTTTATTACGACCAAAGCCCCTTGCTCCTTTGAGGTAGGAGAACCACCTTCTAGCATTCCTCGGGCGCCACTTAGCCCCTGGTTGGTTTTGAACGATTTGAAAACCCTTTGCGGCGGCCTCTAGAGCTCTGGGAACTACATTACCCAGAAGGCCCTTCTCGGAAAGGCCGCAGGGAGGAGCCGAATACGGAGCCGGGTGAGGATTCAGTGCGCGCGCATCGCCTCAGGGCGGGACTTCCGGGCCCCTCATTCCAGCGGTCATGCTGTTCTCCGGTCCCGTTAGCCGGTCGGAGGCTCCGGAGCGCTGTCTCGGGATCGGGGTGGCTAACGGAGAAGGTGCGAGAGGAGGCGACGCCCCCGCCGCACGCAGGCGGGTGTGAGGTCCGGCGACGCCGCCCGCGGGCCCCGCGCCCGGGACCGCCGCGCCCACGGAGCCCGATGGCGGCGGCCACGCTGGGGGGCCTGCCTCAGGTACGTGCCCGTCCCCGGGCCTCCCGCCATCACCCACCCACCCTCGGGCCCCGAGTGCGGACCCTGCTCACGGCCCGCCACCCAGGCCCGGGCCCGGGACGGAGAGGCGCCCGTGGGCGGGGCCCGTGGCCTGAGCGCAGGCGTGACGGCGCGTGGGGCCGGTTACGGGAGGGGGGACTCGCGCGCGCGGAGGCCGGAGGTGCGGCCGAGCCGGGAGGACTCGGGAATCCGGGGTCACCTGGGTCGCCTTCCGCCTGCAGGGAGCAAACAGTGTGAGGCGGAGGGTGGGGAAGTTGAGGTTCAGGCTCCTCACTGAAGGTAACCACCGGATGATGTAACTGGCCTGTTGCTAGGCTACCGCTTCCTCACCTTTAGGCTATTATTGCGCCATATAGAGAGCTCGGCCCAGTGCTCTGGGCAGAGGCAGAGGCGCTAGTGCTCGGCCTACAGCAGGGAGAACAAGCCGGGTAATAAACCCTTTCACCCCAAAGAACGTTTTGCTGTCAATTTCTTTGGTCACATTGAATCCATAGCGAACTTGCCCAGGGCTGAAACCCATTTGGCAGGACATGGAGGCACGCCGGGACTGGCGGGCAGAGGGATTTGCCTCCATTCTCAGGACCCTGGGAGCCATGGAGGGTTGTGAACAGAAGAGAAGCGCGGTCTGTGTTAGAGTTTTACGTTCCCCAAAAGCTGCCCAGAGAGAGAACAGACTGGAGTAGGGGTGGTGAGGAGAGTGAGGCACAGGGAGTCGGGTCCTCATCCAAGGGCACGGGGCTGGTAAGGGCAGCGCTGCGGACTGAGGCACAGAGTCAGGTAACTGAGGTCACCTGGTTCAGGGGCTGGGTGGGGATACAGGAGAGGCTGGCATGCCTGGAGCCCAGACGTGCTTTCCTTCCTCATCCCACAGTTTCTGGAGGTTGAGAAAGCATTAAAGGGACCTACACAAGGATGGAGAGGGTGTCCCAGTCTCTGGTCCTGACACAACCTGTGTGGTGTCTGGGATTGTGGTGTCCTGAAACTTTCACCTATGTTTTCGCGGTTGGATCTGGTACCCTTGAGATATACCTAAAGGTCCAGGTCCCGAGTGCTGGCCAAAGGTTACATGGAGATGTTTCCATTTTTGTCAATCCGTGTAAACAAACAGGTGTGAAAAGTTATCCCAGGAACAGCTACCAGCTTGTGCTACTGCTTTGAAGTGGGACCGAGGTGGGAACAAATGATAGGCCTCCACTGTTTCAGTCAAGAACAAAGAGCAGGAGCTCAAGAGTCAGGCCTGAAAGGAGGCTGCTTGAGTTCGGCATCCGTTATGGAGGTAACGGGAGGTCTGGATTAGAGGAAGGAGCTGTTCTTCCTCAGGTTCCGCAGGTTCCATCTGGCTGCGTGCTGTTGGGATTATGGTGTTAAGGGAGGAGGCAGGGAGCCCAGCAGAAAGCGGCTGCTACAGTCCAGGCCAGTGCTGACGGACCAGAGTGGTGGCTTAGAGGTGAGAGAAGAGGTTACTCTTTCCATTTCTTAAAGAAGGGCCAAGACTCTCAGGTGTGGGTGAGGGAGAGAAGAGAGGCAGAGAGGACCCCAGGGTTTTTAGTCCTAGCAACTGAAGGGATACATGTTCCATCAGCTGGGGTGGGGAATTTGGTTGTAGTTTAATTTTCACTGGAAGTATCATAAGTTCGTTTTGGCCCTGTTGGGGGTCTGAGAAGTTTCAGAGAACTGAGTAAAGGCATCAAGTGGGCAGCTGGATGCACAGATCTGGCAATCGGGGGGCCGGGATGGAGGTGTTCAAAAGTGGGGGCTCCGGAGCTCCACTGTGGATCCCATTTAGGGTCGGTTATTCAGGACACGGTGGAAATGGTATCAGCAGGTCAGGGAGAAGAGGGTGTGAGTGCTGACAGAGAGAAATGGTGGTGAGAGCCATGCCGGAGAGAGGGCGATCTGGCTGGTCGCCTAGGCTTCCACGGGATGTGTGGCCATGAGATGTAATAGAGGCAGGATGACATGGAGGCCAGAGCTCCTGCGTCTCCACTGATGTACAGCTTTCCCAAAATTTTGAGTTTTGGTGGGGTCTGGGGCAAATGTGGTCATTTGTGAGTCACTGTGCCTGACATGGAGAACCTAAGGGCTACCTTGCTAAAGACTAAGTGGGGAGAGTAGGTCTGTGGCTCCTGAGGGGACAGCAGGTGCAGCACAGTAGTAGAAGAGGTCGTGGGCATCTGAAATTCACGTGGTTCTGGGTGGCTAATTTTGAAGCGGGGACCTGGGGAAACGAGGCAGGGAGGCTTTCAAAGCAGCGTTCAGGGCCTCTTTACCTGGCTGGGGGATCCACTCCCAGGGCTGGGGCTATACTAGATCGTGTTTGATCTGTGTGAAGCACTTTCTGGACGCCATGTGCCAAGAATATGGGAGAGTCCAGAGAGTCCAGGTGTGGGGCAGAAAGGTGGGCAGACCTGTGGGAGGGAGTGTAACTGAAGGTGTGAGAGGTCAGGTCTAGTGAATGATGCTCACATCGAGAGAAAGTGGGAGCTGATGGCCCCAGGGCTCTGCTAAAGACTTACTGGCGAAGCAGGCGCCCACATTTGGCTGTGCCTTGGTGCACAATCTGGGAGACCCCAGGGAAATCGCTTGGCTGGAAGGATGGGGCTGGAGGATGCAGGCTAGGCCTTGAGTTTAGATGGCGTTTATCTGGCTCTGCTGCCCGTTGTTGCTGAGGGCTGAACGAAGTGATAAATGGGACCACGAGGAGAGAGCAGGCATGAGCCGCACTCCTCAGGGTGGGGAGCTCCGGAGGAGACGGCGTGGCATTGTGGGTTCTCAGAGTGTTCACGGTTTTCTCCGTCCCGTTCACGACAGGGCAGTGTGACCTTTGAGGATGTTGCCGTGTACTTCTCCTGGGAGGAATGGAGGCTCCTGGATGAGGATCAGAGACGCCTGTACCGCCACGTGATGCTGGAGAACTTGGCGCTTGTGTCCTCACTGGGTAAGGCCCTCCCCCTTCCCAGTAGTCTAGACTAGGTTCTCTTTCCTCGTGTCTCTCTCACTCTTTCTCTCATGTGGACCATAGGCACTGCTTCCTTCTCCAGTTTTCTCTGTAGTTGCTGCGTCGGTAGGGCTGGTTGTGTGCACACCCTCTTCTCTCCCTGCAGCCCCAATACCTGCTGTACTGAACTCTCACAGGGAAGGGTCTAAGTACAGTAGTCTTGCAGTGAAGCTAATGGGTTACATTTTGCTTGCCATCTCCCTGGCCAGGTTTTGTATCCAGGTCCATGCACTTTTGTGTCCTGAGTTCTGTTCCCTTTTTTATCTGGTACATGCTTTGCCTGCCCATGCCAGGAATGCAGGCATTGTCATGGTTGTTACTTATCTGGACCACTGGCTGTTTTTCAGGACTGTCTTGTACAGTTCTATTTATATTATTTAGATCTCGTTTTTTTCTTTTCTTTTCCAGCTTTATTGTGGTATAGTTTACAAATAATACTGTATATATTGAAAGGGTAGTGTCATTATTTGATATATGTATACATTGTGAAATGATTACTATACGCAAGTTAACACATCCATTACCTCACATTTACCTCTTTCATGTGCATGTAAATTTCAGGTATATAATACACTATTATTAATTATAGTCACCATGTAGTATATTAGATTCTTAGAACTTACTTATCCCTTATAACTGACCAAAATCCTATCTTCTCTAGCCCCCAGCCTCTGGCATTTTACTCTCTGTTTTTATGGATTCTACTATATATATATATATATATTTTTTTTTTTTAAGACTCCAAATGAAAGTCATACCATACAGTATTTGTCTTTCTCTGTGTGGTTTCTTCCACTTTGCATTGTGCCTTCTAGGTTCATCCATCTTGTCAAAAATGCATCATTTCCTATTTTATGGCTGAATAATACCCCATTATATGGTTGACCCTTGGGTATTTGAATACAGTATATAACATGGGTATTTGAAAAAATTTTCTTCTCGTTTATTGTAAGACTACAGTATAATACATATTCACAATATGTGTTAATTGGCCGTTTATGTTATGTCTAAGACTTCTGTCAGTAATAGGCTATTAGTTAAGTTTTTTGGGAGTCAGAAGCTACATGTGGATTTTGGACTCCACGTGGAAGGGACGTTCCTAAGCCCCATGTTGTTCAAGGGCCAACTATTCATCCATTCATCCATAGACAGATAATTAGGTTGTTTTCATAACTTGGCTATTGTGAATAATGCTGTAATAAACATGGGAGTGCACATATCTCTTTGAGATGCTGATATACACACAGTGGAATGGTTGGACCACAGTTCTATTTTTAGGTTTTTGAAGAACTTCTGTATTATTTTCCATAATGGCTGTAACAATTTACAGTCCTACGAACAGTGTACAACAGTTTCCTTTTCTTCATAGCCTTGCTGACACTTTTTATCTCTTCTTTCTGATAAGAGCCATCCTGACAGATGTGAGGTGATACCTCACTGCGATTCGGATTTGCATTTCTCTGGTATTAGTGATGTTGAGCCCCTTTTCAAGTACCTGTTGGCCATTTGTATGTCTCTGGGTAAATGTCTGTTCAGGTCCTTTGCTCACTTTTTAATTACTTTTGGCTTTTTATTCTGAGTTGTATGAATTCTTGATATATTCTGGAAATTAACTCCTTATGAAATATATATCTGGCATATATTTTTCCTGTCCCTTAGGATGTCTTTTCATTTGGTTGATTGTTTTCCTTGCTATACAGAAGCTTGTTTGTTTCTTACAGTTCCACTTGCTCATTTTTGCTTCCGTTGCCTGTGCCATCGTCGGTGTCATAAGCAAAAACCGTTGCCAACAGCAATGTCAAGGAGCTTTTTCCTGTATTTTCTTCTAAAAGGTTTACAATTTCAGGTCTTAATATTAAGTTTTAATCTGATTCAAGTTAATTTTTGTTAGGGGTGTAAGACAGAACTACATGTCCTTTTTCTTTTTGTTTATGGATATCCACTTTCCCCGTCACCATTTATTGAGACTGCCCCTTCCCCATTGTGTGTTCTTGCTGTCCTTATCAAAGATTAATTGGCCACATATATGTGGGTGTATTTCTGGGCTATTTTGTTCAGCCAGTTTGTGTCTGTTTTTATGCCAATATCATCCTGTTTTGATTACTATCACTTTGAAATATTTTGAAATCAGAAAGCATGACCCTCCAGCTTTGTTCATCTTTCTCAAGATTCCTTTGGCTATGTGGGGTTTTTGGTTCCATATAAATTTTAGGATTATTTTTTTCTATTTCTGTGAAAAATGTCACTGGAGTTTTGTTATGGGTTGCTCTGAGTCTGTAGATTGCTCTGGGGGTGGACGTTATAATAATATTAATTCTTCCAATCCAGGAACACTGGATGTCTTTCTATTTGTTTGTGTGTTCTCCAGTTTCTTCTATCAATGTCTTGTCATTTTCAGAATGCAAATTTTTTCATCTCCTAGGTTAAATTTATTCCTGATATTTTATTATTTTTGATGCTATTTTTAATGGTATTTAAATTTTTTCTTTTCAGATAGTTTATTATTAGTGTATATAAATGCAACTGGGTTTTTTTTGTATATTGATTTTTGTCCTGTAACTTTATTGAAATCATTTATTCTAAAAGTATTTTGGTGGCGTCTTTAGAGTTTTATATATGTAAGATTATGTCATCTGTAAACAGACAACTTTACTTCTTTTATTCCCATTTGGATGCCTTTTGTTTCTTTTTCTTGCCTAATTACTCTGGTTAAGACTTCCAATACTATGTTGAATAAAAGTGGAGAGAGTGGGCACCTTGTCTTGTTCCTGATGTTAGAAGAAAAGCCCTCAGCTTTTGATCGAGTCTGATGCTAGTTGTGGGTCTGTCGATATGTTGAGGTGCATTCCGTCTATACCTAATTTTTTGAGAGTTTTTATCATTAAAGGATAATGAATTTTGTCAAATTCCTTTTCTGGATCTATAGATAATGATTATATGATTTTTTCCCTTCATTCTGTTAATGGGGGTGTGTCACATTTATTGATCTGCAGGTGTTGAACCATCTTGCATCCCAAGAATAAACCCTAATTGATTGTGGTATGCGGTCCTTTTAATGTGCTGTTGGGTTTGGTTTGCAAATATTTTATTGAGGATTTTTACATCTGTGCTCATCAGGATATGGATATTAGCCTTTAATTTTCTTGTATTGTCCTTAAATGTCTTTGATAGGGTGATGCTGATCTCATAAAATGGGTTTGGAAGTGTTACCTCTTCATGTTTTTAGGAAGACTGAGAAGGATTAGCATTAACTCATCTTTAAATATTTAGTAGAATTCCCAGTGATTCTGTCTGGTTTTGGGATTTCGTCTACTGGAAGATTTTTGGTTACTGATCAATCACCTGACCAGTTACAGGTCTGTTCAAATTTTCTACCTCTTCATCATTCATTTTTGACAGGCTGTATGTCTCTGTGAGTTTGGCCGCTCTATGCCATCTGATTGGCTCGCATGTGATTGTTCATAGGAGTTTTTTCTGATTGTATTCCTGCAGTATAAATTGTGATGTTTCCTCTTTCATTTATGATTTTCAGTCTTTTCACTTTTTTTTAAATTCAGCCAAAGGTTTGTCAGTTTCTCATTTCAAAAAACCTGCTATTAGTTTCATTGATCTTTTCTGTTTTTTAGTCTCTACTTCATTTGTTTCTGCTCTGATCTTTGTTGTTGGCCTCCTTCTGCTGACTTTGACCTTTGGTGGTTCTTTTTCTCATATCTTGAGGCATAAAGTTAAGTTGTTTGAGATATTTCTCTTCTTAATGTAGGCATTTATCACTATGAACTTTGCTTTTACAACGGATTTTTATGCATCTCCTAAGTTTTGGTGTGGGTGTTTCCATTTTCATTTGTCTGAATTTATTTTTTGATTTCTTCTTTGACCCATTGCATTGGTTGTTCAGGAGTGTGTATTTGTGAAATTTCCAACATTCCTCCTGTTAATGATTTCTAGTTTCTTACCATTGCGGTTGGAAAAGATACTTGATATGATTTCAGTTTTCTTAAATTTGTAAAGGATTGTTTCGCACGCTAATATATGATCTATCCTAGAGAATGCTCCGTGTGCACTTGAGAAGAACGTGTATTCTGCTGCAATTGGATGACATCTTTGTATAAGGTTCTTTGTATAAGTTCACTTTGGTTTTAAGTGCAGTTCAAGTCTGATGTTCTCTTACTGGTTTCTGTCTGGATGATCTTGACATCTTTGTATAAGGTTCTTTGTATAAGTTCACTTTGGTTTTAAGTGCAGTTCAAGTCTGATGTTCTCTTACTGGTTTCTGTCTGGATGATCTATACATTGTTGCATGTGGGGTATTGAAGTCCCTCCATCTTTGTATTGTTCTTTATTTCTGCTTTCAGATGTTAGTGTTGTTTGCTTCATATATTTGGTCCGATATGGGGTGCATATAATTGATCTATTCTTCTGATTAACTGCCATATTACATAATGACCTTCTTTGACCTTCTTTGTCTCATGATAGTATTTCACTTAAAGTCCATTTTTGTCTGACATAAATGTAGTTACTCTGCTCTTTGGTTTTAATTTTTAAATTTGTGGTAAGGTTTCCTCCTTCCAATAAAGTTAGTGTGTACTTCACAAGCATTTCTTTGTATTCAGGTTGCTGGAGTGGAGCAGAGAATGTGGAGTCACCCTTTGAAGGGAGTGTTTCTGTAAGAATGTTACAGGCCCGGACTCTGAAGGAACCTCTGGCTTCCCACACTGACATGTGTGGTCCAGTCTTGAGAGAGATTGTCCACTTGGATGAACACCTGGGAACACAACATGGCCAGAATATGTTTAAATGTGGGGCATGTGGGAAACAATTTTATTTCTGTGAAAACCTTCAACAGCACCAGAAGCAGCATGTGGGAGAAAAAACCCTTATAAGCAGTGTGGATAGGGCCTCATTTGCGAAGAGTTGCAATTTCCATGTGTCAGGGAAGCCTCTTAGCTGTGGGGAGATTGAGAAGGACTTACTGACCACCACAGAAAATCTCCAGCCAAAGGCTGTTCATACCAGAGAGAAGCCAAACAAAATCTCCGAGTGTGGGAGGACTCTTCAAAGCATAAGAAATCATCACACCTGGGAATGCAGGAAAACCTTCAGCCCCAAACTCACTCTTGTGGAGGACCAGAATATCCACGCTGGAAGACAGTGTATTGTGTGCCATGAATGTGGGAAAACATTCAAATACAAATCCTCATTTGTTGCTCACCAGAGAGCCCACACCGGTGACAAGCTTCATGTGTATGGTGAATGTGGAAAATCCTTTAGGGAAAGCTCAGCTCTAAGTCAACATAGAAGAATTCATACTGGGGCAAGGCAGTACAAGTGTAGTGAATGCGGAAAATGCTTTAACCAAAAATTTATCCTCATTTATCCTCGGAGAAGTCACACTGGTGAAAATTGTTATGTGTGCCATGAATGTGCACAATCTTTTAGTCACAATTCTCTCATTCGACAAAATACACTTCACACTGGAGAACTGAGTTATGAGTGCACTGAATGTGGGAAATCCTTTACACAAAAATCTGACCTCAGTGAACACTGGAGAGTTCACACAGGAGAAAGGCCTTATGAATGTAGTGAATGTGGGAAATGTTTTACTTCTAGCTCCGCCCTCCGCTATCATCAGAGAGTTCACACTGGAGAAAAGCCTTATAAATGTAGTGAATGTGGGAAGTCTTTTACTTCTAGTTCTGGCCTCCGTTATCATCAGAGAATTCACACAGGTGAAAGGCCATATGAGTGTTGCGATTGTGGGAAAACTTTTACCCAAATAAATCACCTCATTATACACCGAAGAGTTCACACAGGAGAAAGGCCTTATGAGTGCAGTGAATGTGGGAAATCCTTTAGCCACAAATCTTACCTCTCTCAACACCAGAGAGTTCATACTGGAGAAAGGCCCTATGAGTGTAGTGAATGTGGAAAATCTTTTACCTCTTGCTCTGCCCTCTGTTACCATCAGAGAGTTCACACGGGGGAAAAACCTTATGAGTGCAGTGAATGTGGGAAATCTTTTACCAATGGACCAATACTCATTCGACACCGTAGGGTTCACACTGGAGAAAGGCCTTATGAGTGTAGTGAATGTGGGAAATCCTTTACACAAAGAAATCACCTCAATATACACCACAGGGTTCACACAGGAGAAAGGCCCTATGAGTGTAGTGAATGTGGAAAATCTTTTACCTCTGGCTCTGCCCTCCGGTATCATCAGAAAGTTCACATTGGAGAAAGACCTTATGAGTGCAATGAATGTGAGAAGTCTTTTACCTCTAGCTCTGCCCTCCGTTGTCATCTGAGAGTTCACACAGGAGAAAGGCCTTTTGATTGCAGTGAATGTGGGAAATCTTTTAGGGATAGTTCTCAGTTGAATCAACACCAGAGAGTTCACACTGGAATAAAGCCTTATGAATGCAGTGATTGTGGGAGATCCTTTAGCCAGAATTCTTACCTCTCTAAACACCGGAGAGTTCACACTGGAGAAAGACCTTATGGGTGTAGTGAATGTGGGAAATCTTTTACATCTATCTCTGCCCTTGGTTATCATCAGAGAGTTCACACTGGAGAAAGGCCTTATGAGTGTAGTGAATGTGGGAAATCTTTTACCAATAGCTCAATACTCATTCGACATCGGAGACTTCACACAGGAGAGAGGCCTCACAAGTGCAGTGAATGTGGGAAATCCTTTACCCAAAGAATTCACCTCATTATTCACCGGAGGGTTCACACAGGAGAAAGGCCTTATGAGTGTAGTGAATGTGGGAAATCTTTTACCTCTCGTTCCACCCTCCATTATCATCAGAGAATTCACACAGGAGAAAGGCCTTATGATTGCAGTGAATGTGGGAAATCTTTTAGTCGAAAATCTAACCTTTCACAGCACCAGAGAGTTCACACTGGAGAAAGGCCATAGATGTGTAGGAAATATACAGGTTCTATGTTCAGTGTAGTAACAGCAAAGGAAACTCTGTGAGGTGCCATTTGTCTGAATTGAATCTCATACATCCAAACACCAACAGTAGGGAGATGCCCCCTTTGGTTTCAGTTATGTGGGAAGCATGTGTAGCTGTAATGTACTTTCTAAACTGCCCTGGGCTCTTACCAGGTTTATGTCACTGCCAATTTCTGTGGCCAAAGCTCTTTTACCTCTACCACCTGGCAGGTCCCCACATTGTGCATGAGTCATTACCCCAGTGTGCTCAGGGAAGCTGACTCTTCTCTCATTTGGTGGAGGAAATCAGGACTAAATTGAGCCCTTAGGGGTCTGCATTTCCTTATCGCTGACAACCATGGGCATTGACTTGAACCTGTGTTGGCCCAGGGAACATAATATGAATTTATCTGGCTGCTTGCAGAGGACTACTATTTTCAGGGACATGGTCTCTCAAGATACTTGTGATGAATTTTTCCAGTTTCTGAGTCACCAACTCAAGAACTGCTAACCCCACATCACTTTGGCTTGTACGATAATGAAGGAGGCTTTGTTTAAGTCCTCTTTAATCTTGGGTTTACTGTTTACTGCATGGGGTGGTTTATAAACAGATTTAGGTGTCTACAAGCATGATAGATGAGCAACTTTTATGCAGAGGTCTCAAACTTTCTGTGCTTGTAGGGGACAGATGGCAGAAATTAGCTCACAAGTTTGCCAAACATGAACTGTTGCCCATTTCCTCCCAGGAAAGACTGCAAGGCTTTCTACTCCTCATTTGAAACATGGATGCTATGAATTTCAGGAGACTCAGATCACCCTTTCGAGAGGGCAGGTGTGACAACTGCTTCTGGAAGCAGCATGAGGTTTTTCCCTTGTTCATATGTGATGTCGGCACTGTTGAGAATCTCTTCACTAGGTCCTTCGAAGAGCCATGTACCCTGATGACCATAAGTCAGTAGGTGATGGTCACTGGTTGTAAGACCATTGGGGTCAGGGGAAGCCAGAATTGCTGCAGAAACACTGAATGGGGATCGGAGAAGACTGCAGCCAACTAGAGGAATGTCCTAAAAGTGCATCCACAAATATTTCTGTGACAATGAGTGCAGCATCGGTGTATATGCAAATCTGAGGACCTTCAGGCATGCTTATCTCGTGTAGCTGAAGTCATTGAAAATCAAGCTTTTGTGGATTCCTATAGCCTCTCAGTGATGTTCACCTCAAAATCTTTGATACACGTGAAGAAAAACGAATGGAGGATCCATAGTCCAAGTATGTAAATTTTGTGCCCAGATGGCATTCCTGTTGACTAGGAGAGAGTCCTTCATTGTCGTTATATTTGCTGTCAGTGAGGCAAGCCTGATCCCCCAGAGGGCATGAGAAGGTGGAGTGAATACAGTGTTGCCAAACCTATTTTCCAAAGAATTGGACATAGTTTTGACTCAAAACATTTAAAGAAACATTATTAAGCTATAACTTACATATAATAAACTGTACATAAAGTGTAGTATTTGACAAGTTTTGGCATACAGATGAACCTGAAAAAAACATCACTATAGTCATGACACTGGCCATATTGTGTGCTTTTATAATCTCTCACTGCCCTTCACAGCCCTCCAAGTAACCACTGATTCACTCTCTATAATAACTGCATTTTCTAGAATTCATATGATGGAAATCAAAGTATTTACAGTTTTTTTGCTTGCTTTTGTGTTATGTTAATGCTCAGATTTTATCAGTGACATATGAGTAGCTCATCCTTTTTTTCTTTTTTTTGGTGACATACATTCTTATTGACTATACTACTATTCGTTACCCATTTGTTTGTTTATGGGCATTTATGGTATTTCTAATTTTTGACTATTGAAGATGAAGCTGGTACATAATTTGTGTATAATTCTTCGTGTGGATATGTTTCATTTATCTTGTCAGTAACTCAATGCAAAGTCTAAATCCTAGAGTAGTTGAATATTTAACTTAAAGCAGCAGATTGTGGTCTAAATGATTGTACTTTTTTGCATTCTTACCAGTAGTGCATAATTTCCACTTCCACATCCTAGTGAGTACTTGGTTTGGTCCGTTTTTCATTTTAACTTTTTATAAGTTTGTAGTGCTATCTTACTTGTTTTGATTGCATTTCCCTAAGAATTTATGATTAACATTTTTTTATTTTTGAGATGTGTACCTGCTGTTTCTGTTATCTTTGGTAAAATGTGTTCATATTTTTCTGCCTGTTGTATGGATTTTAGCTATTTTTCTTTAACAAAAGGACAGTGAAACAACAAAGATATATGTTATAATTTTATTTTGTGACTTTTCGGCTTTATTAAATAATTGTTTTTAACATTGGAAGAACAATTTTTTCCAATGTTATGCCATGTACAATGGACACATATACTATATACTTTTAATCTGCACTGTTAACATATTCACCATTACTTTCTGAAGTCCATTCATTAATACAATAAACCCTCACTTTGTTGTCTTGTCCCAGTTTCCTGGTCTGTCGTCATGGGGTTTGGTGGGTTGGAGCAGGACTCTCGGACCAGAGAGCATCTGGATGGATAGGATGTTTTTGAGTCCCAAAGTCCAGTGGGGAGGGAGACAGGACAGCCAAGCTGTGGGTCAAGTAGCCTGGGTTTGAATCCCAGAACCCAGAGTATCACTGGAACTCAAAGGCAACTGACCCACCCTCTCTGGGTTTCAGCTTCCTTACGTGTAGAATGGGTATAAGGTGTGACTCTGACCCCGAGCTGTTGGAGGAGGTCAAGAGCTGAGGCACCATTTGTTGTGAGGTGGCTGCTCCCATGGCCTCCCCAGATACTTCGGCCTCTGCTGTGAAATTCCCCAGCAGGCACTTCTCGTTCCCTGGGTGCATCTGAGAAAGGTATGGGGCTTCTCCAACCTACCTACAAGTTTCTTCACTGGGAATCTGAGTGACTTGCTAGAGATCCCTGAACTTCAGTTCTCTGACATGGAGGTGATGGCACTTACCTTGGCCTCTGTGAGGACCAATAAACATACCAAAACACAGTCAGCATCTACTGGTGCCAGGATTCCAGGATTTGCTTTATAAGCATTTGGCCTGAGGAAGTGGGAATGACATCGTATTCCTGGGGAAACCCATGGTCAGATGAAGTAGGTTCTTCAAGGTCACACAACAGACAAGTATCAGATTCAAGAGGCTGGATCCAACCTGGGCATCTGGGTCCAGACTTGGAGACATGTAATCCCTTTACCAGGGCATGTGAAGCCCTAATCTCTGGGCAGGTGCACAGTGAGGACCAGCGAGGCTCACCTGCTGCTGCCATCATTGTTGGACTATCATCATGGTCACTTCCTCACCATCTGTCCCCACAGTCTGCACAGGCAGGCCACTGTGTCTCATGTCCCATGGGTGGCTTTTGTCTCAGCCACAGTTGCATTATGTCTGAAGGCCACAGCATAGAGCTCAACTTAGGAGACCTCGGTGACTGAGGCCTGGGTCTCTGCACCTTCACCAGCAACTGACAGGCTCTGATCCCATCCAACAACCCAAAGGTCTGATGCCTCAGTTTGACTTTTTTTGGGTGTTTCTGACCTTCACCCTGGAGGGCTGGAGACAGCTGGACCCAACCCAGAGGACCCTGTCCCAGGAGGTGATGCTGGACACCTTTGGTCTCCTGGTCTTACTGGATGAGGGCTCACCTCTCCTCCACTCAGGGGATTTGCAGCTTCCTTCCTTCAGTCGTCTTTGTCCTGGCCTGTCAGTTCAAGAAGATGCCATCTGGAAGAAGCCACCATTCCTCCCTGCAGCTCTGCCCATGTTCTAGACCTATATCCTCTTTCTGATCTCCCTGTGTGTGCACCAGGGATCTTTGGCTAGGAGCATAGTCCCTGTGAACAAATACCCTGACTCTGCTGGCCATCACTCTCACCACAACTGAGACGCCTATTACAGATTTCACAGAAGGGGAGCTGAGGGTCCAGCCTGCTTTGGTCAGTTGTGTCTATGACCTACTTTGCAGGGCCATGGGTGACGCTATTCTCAGGGTGAGTCCAATAGCACCCTAGAAAAAAGTGCCCCCACGTATGTTCCTAAATCACATAATCCTGGTGAAGAGGTCCCTGGGGGCTGCTGCATGACCATCCTTTGTTTCCTAAGGCCTAGGATACATTCCAGCAGGGGTTCAGATGACTTTAGAGGGCATACAGACCCAACATCAGGTGGCATGGCTGGATACTCTAAGAAAACCAATCACTTTTCTTTTTCCCTCCTGATGGGTGTCAGAAAGTCTTGGTGTCATACTGAATTTCTAATGCCACCCTGACTGTAATTTCCCTTTTCAATAGAGGGAGTAGCCCTGGGCAGGCCCCATGAGCTGCCTGGGACTTCAGAGCATCATATTGATTTCATTATATTTTTCATGGTAAACTTCCACTTGTGGCAAGTCAAACTGGTTTTCCCAAAAGAAAGATACAAATATACTTCCTAGAATACTATCTATATAAGAAAAATAGTTTACTTGAAAGAGAATAAATTAATAGTGATTATAGCTAAGGTCCTCTAAGCACAGACCAGGTGTCAGGTCTGTTGCAGACACTGTTCAAACTGCATTCACTGAGTTCTAACATCATCCCCGTCCTGGGCAAAGTAAGGAAAAGGCAGCCACAGAGTCCCTCACAAATCCCAATTTACTCAATGTAGATGTGCCTCTGTTATGAGGCGTCAATCTCTGCTTTCTTTGCTGCTAAAATCCCTTTTTAAAAATGAAATGTGAGAGTAGATAGTTGGTGTCCATGAAATGTCCTTACTGGATTGTTAACCTTAAAAATAAAACTGTCAATTTATTTTACTGGTGAAAACGGGTTTATTCGGGAATAGCAGGGAGTTGCGATTTGGGATTTGGGAATGCTCTTTTAAAGGAGGGATTATTATAAATAAAAAGGCCAAGTAAACTGGGAGTCCCCAGTACGGTGGCTCTCATTGGCTGGGATGTTTTTGGAAGTTGAAGGGATGGGAGGAAAACCTTCCTTCCTCCTGCTTTGTAGTGAAGTAGTAGCTACAGTCCCTGAACTTGCAAGGTCCTGTTCCAGTCGGGTCTGTACTAACCAGTGGTGGGGCGCGAGGGCTCCCCCTGCTGGCCTCCTGACTCCATGTCAGGGAGGTTTCCCTTAATTTTCACAGGATCAAATCACTGCGTGGGGTTTCTAATTTTTTTTTTGTATCATTAATCTACAATTACGAGAGGAACATTATGTTTACTAGACTCCCCCCATGACAAGTCCCCCCCACATACCCCGTTACAGTCACTGTCGGGGTTTCTAATTTTTTTAAGTTTTTAGAGGTTCATGAAACATAAAAATATGGCAATCACCAAATGATACCGTTACAGGATTCCCCTTCCCTGAGCATTAAATTCTCCTGATCACCTCCTTGTCACCTCATGGCCTACCTTTTCAAAGAAAGCTGGTCCCACACAGGAGCTGTGCCCTTTTTCCCTGGTGTGGCACTCAGGGGTCCCAGGCCCTGGAGCCAGAGCTACTGCTGTGAAGTCCAGCTCTGCCCATCACAGGCTACGTGGCAAGTTTCTGAACTTCCAGGTTCTTTTGTGGCAAAAGATGGTATATTTAAGTCCCAGGGTAGCTGTGAGTGTGAACGTGTTTAGTAGAGGATGCAGCGCGGCATCCCTCCCTCCCTGACAGTGAGCAGGTCTGCAGGCATGACCCTGCCGCCAGCCCTTTCCTGACACGGCGCTCCACTTCCTCCTCTTTCTCATCGCCGTCATTCTCACATCACTGTGCCTGGACCCAACGCCTTCTGGAGCAGTACAAGTTCTCTTTCCTTATGATAATTATGATAGCGTTTCACACTAAAAATAATACTAGTAACTTAGAATTCAATTACCCATCTTTTCAAAAATGTATTTTTCAGAATCAAATGTTTAAATCATAAACAATATACTCCCATTTTATATTTATATAATGCATCTTTTCTTTTATTTCAAAGGTTTATCCTACATTCTTTTGTTAATTTGTCATATGTATGATGGTGTGACAAGATCATTTGGTATAATTTCCCACGTTCTCTAGTGTAGTGGCATCTCTTTCATGTCCTTAACATGTTCACCATTGCTTCCAATAAATGTATAATCAGAGCCAGAGACATCCATCGAACCCAGATTGACCCTGGCTAGGGCGCTCTAGGTGGGGCCGGGACTTCTGACGGCATCACCAGCAGATGCTCTGAAGTCTGACTGTCTCTTTGTGACATTAACACTGCACAGTGCGTCCCCCTGTTAAGTTTTTTCAACCCGTTTCTTTTATCCCCACTGGTCTTTATTGTGCCTTCTGTCATTGATGTTATTCGGTTCAAGTAACTGATTGATGATCATTAGCTGAATTCATTATTTTCTGAGCTGTTGAGACATGTCTGTATTCTACCAAATTTTACCAGGACTTCCGCATTTATTACCTAGAAATACTCTATAAAAAGTTTTCCTAATTTAAATTTGCTTACCTTAAAGTGCAGTCTGTACACCAAAGGGAGGAAAGTGTTTGATATCTTCTCTTTCTTGAGCCTTTTCAAAATTTCGCTTGAACAGGGGGCCCTGCCAGGGCTTCTCGCGGTGAATCTTCGCCTTTTCTCCTGGAGTCAGGTGGTGAAGCCCCTTATCACGGCTTGGGACTGAGAACTACATTTCCCAGAACGCCCTGTGCTGAAGGCAGCGTCATAGAGCCAATGAAGGCTCCGCAAGGAGGCCTTTCTGTTTGAGCACCAAGGGCTGGGGCGGACTCGCTGGGCGTCAGCTTGGCTGCGTTGGGCCATGTTCTCCCTGTCAAAGGTTCTATAAGGGCCCCGTCGGGACCGAGAAGGTCCGAAAGGAGGCGCTGTCCCCTCAGCAGAGAGGCGGGTCTGAGGCATCGCGCAGGGGCCCCGCGCCCGGGCCGGGATGGTATCTTCCGCTCCCGGGTCGCCTCCTCTCCCGCTGCGCCCACGGAGTCCGATGGCGGCGGCCGCGCTGAGCGGCCCTGCCCAGGTACCTGCCCGTCCCCGGGCCCTGCCCACGGCCCGGGACGGAGAGGCGCTCGTGGGCGGGGCCGGTGTCCTGAGCGCCGGCGTGACGGCGCGTGGGGCCCGTTACGGGCGGGGGGACCCGCGCGTGCGGAGGCCGGGGCTGGGGCCGAGCCGGGGGGACTCGGGCATCCGGGAACCTGGGGCGGCCTTCCGCCCGCAGGGAGCCCTGGGAGGCGCCTAATCCTGGAAGAGCCCGCCGAGGGCTGTACTTTTGCTGTGAGGACTCTGGGAACCAGAGAGCTTCGAACAAAGGAGAGACGCGGTCTACGTCAGAGATTAAAACTTTCTCAAAGGCAGTTCAAAAGAAGGACAGGGTGGAGGGGTGATGAGGACATTGAGGCACTGGGAGGCTGAATCTTTGTTCAGGGTCACCCAGCTGGTGACGGACATCAAGCACTTAGGTATTAGAATCGAAGCCAGCCTGATGTCACCTGGCCCCAGGGCCAGGGAATGGTATAGGGAGGCAGGAGCCCTTCAAACCAGCCCGGACTTATTTCTCCAAGGCCTGTCTTTTTGTTCAGGTTCCCATGACTGCAGAAGCTCCTAAGGAACTCACACAGGTAAGTGAAGGGTTTTCCAGTGCTCCACTGGCCCCAGCCCTCACTCTTGTGTTCTTCGGATTGTGATCGTCTTGGACTCTGTGTCATTCCTCCAGTCTTTAAGTGTGGGGACCCTGTAGGAACACCAAGCCGTGGGAAAGTCCATCTCAGGCTTTTATGTAAATGTGTTCCCATTATTGGCAACCAATGTAAACAGCTGTGAAGGGTTCTTACAGGAACTGGTTCCAAGATTTCCAAATGCTTAGAAGTAAAAGTGAGCTGGGGGAGTTCAGAAAGCCACAGGTGTCCTTTCTTCTAGGCGAGAACAAAGAGCAGAAGATGGGAGTCAAAGGATGGGAATGGTCATCTGAAAAAAGTGTGCCGTCTATTTAGGTGATTGGAGGTTTGGACGGGAGGAGGGGGTGCTCATGCCAAAGTCTTAACAGCCTCCATCTGGCTGCATAGTGGAGAGTGCAAGTAAGGCAGAAGGGAATATCAGAGGATCAGAGGTTCTTCCACAGTCCAAGTGAGGTTTAATGGACAATATTGGCGGCTTAGGAAGTGAATGGATTCTGGATATATTTTAAAAGGAACTCTATTTTCCAATGTGAAAAGTGAGGAAGTGAAACAGGACTCAGAGAAGACCCCAGGATTTTCAGTCTTAGTAGCTGTAGGGATTGAAGCTCTTATCTTTGATGAGCAAGATTGTAGGAGGAGTGATATTCACTGGGAATAGCAAGAGTTTCTTGTGTGGGATTAATATATAAATCAAGTATAGAAATAAAATGTATAAATCATACATGACTTGATTATTTTTCCTGTAATTCCTGATAAGTGATCAGGAACAGAACAAACAAGACCAAAACAGTTTCTGTGACCTAATTGCCCTTGCTACTGTTTCAATACCACCTAAGATGTCGTGCCCCAGGGGACTGGATACTCCTGAGGATTGTTTAGAGTCCGTTAATGATTGTCTATTAAGCCCCCCACACAGAATTCTATTGTTGTTAACATGTATTTCGCTCAATAAATACGAGGGGTGCCCTCTCAGCACCACTCTTGTGCGGTTACACCTTGAGTCCCCTGGCTGGTCTTTTTGGATCTTCGACATCTCATTGCGTCTCCCCCCTTGTCTGTGGGACAGAGGCAAGGAGGGGACCAACAGTTTTGTTTTATCTATGTTTGAAGTCTGAAGTGTTCCAGAGATTTGAGTGGAGGCAATGAACAGGGCAGCTGAACCACATAGGTGTGGAAATGTGGGGACTGGTTCAGGATAGAGACATCGAAAACGTGGGTACTGCAGCAAGCTGTGGTGACACTGAGGGAGGGGCAGTGTTCAGGTTATGGTGTGCGCTGTTGTGGGCTGGGACGGAGAGGGCGGTGGCTGTGGGCTGGATCTCTTGCTCAGGTAACTGGTGATGGTATTGGGCTTCACAAACATGAGTGAGAAAGGTGAGTGGCCGTGAAGGGGAGATGTGGTGGGGACAGGACAGTGGCAGGTGACCAGGGCTTCCAAGGGAAAAATGGACAGGAGACAGATGCAGAGGTCTAAGAGTCACTGAAGCAAGATGATACTCAGGCTGGGGCTCATGTTTTTTTCATCTAAGATGCTCCAGGAGTTTTTGAAGACTAGTGTGTGTGCTCTGGCATGTTTCATTCAGCCTAAATACACTATGATCAGGGTTAGATGTGGTCCTCTGTGAGTCAGTAGGCTTGGGTTGGGCTCCGAATGAAGATGAAGTGGACAGAAAGGTTGTGGCTGATGAGGGCACAGCAAGTTCAGCATAGAGGTGAATAGGGCCCTAGGTACCTGAAATCCCCACTTGATTCTGTGTGGCTGAGACCGAGGCAAAGAATGGAGCTGGGCAGAGGTCTTCATAGAAGATCTGGCACTGCCACTGCTAGTGAGAGCTACGGGAAGTCTAGGGTAGTACTGGATCCTGTATGAATTTGCCTGGTGTACTTTGGATGCTGTCTGGTAGGTTGTGTAAGGCCTAAAACTAAGCCCCAATATTATATACTGCCTTGAAATGTGTTGAAACTGGAGACCCTCAAATGGCTTTATTACCAATCCCCATCTCAGTCTGCTCTTGGAGATAAGTTCTCTTAACGAAAAGCCCTTTTATAAAGGGGTCCAGGTATGGTCCCTGCTTTTCTCGTAGGGGGTTTTAGTTCCATGTTACCCCTCTGGAGTTACTCAGAAAACTGCATCCTTGCATGGGAACTAGGGGTACTCTACCTTCTTGACGCTACAAAGATACATCCCTGGTGGAGTGTAACTCCATGTAGCCCTGTGTGGTGTCTTCCTATCTCAGGCTGTGAATATATGATCAAGGTGTTTTTTATCACAACTGAAGGGCCCCCACCCGTAAGATGGCAAACTTCCTGCTTCTCTTCCGGGTCCTCAGTTCCCGCTGACGCCACCTGAAACCCAATCACCTCTCGCCCCCCTCCCAATCCCAGCACCTAGCCAATAGCCACCAGCCCCTTAGAAGTAGCACCACAATCACCTCATGCCCCTTCCTATATAACCCAGCACCTTTCCCTAATAAAGCGGAATTCTCCGGTGAATTGCGGCTGTGTCGCTCCTTCCTTTCAACAACTGTCCAAAACACTGAATAGGAATCCCACCCTCACCAGTGGAGTTAAAAGGAGGTAATCTAAATACATTCACATGTGGGGAGGCCAGGGAGATGCTCATGGAGTGGAACAGGGGGGTCTGGTGTACATGGGCGTGTGGTGTCTGGAGATGTGAGGGACATGAGTCTGAAGAGTGACGTGCATGGAGGGAGGGAGGGAGCGTGCCTCATGGCCCCAGGTCCCTGATATTGGGACACACATGACCTTATCCATACCCGGGGAATTGCCTGGCAGTGGGGGTTGGATACTTCTGTGCCAGGTTCACAGTTCAGGCCTTTGTCCACTTGCCTCTTGTTGCTGATGGCTGTGCCCAGTAACTAATGGGCCCACAGAATACAACAGCACCACCAATGGCACCAGGACCAGGTTTTTCCTCTGAGTTGGGGAGATGGGAGATTGGGAGGAGGGTGAGCGCTGGATAGATATATGGGGGGCTGGACCGTAGGTCCTCAGGAAACGGGCTGTTTGTGGTTTCATGTGTCCCAAATCATGACAGGGCAGTGTGACCTTTGAGGACGTGGCCGTGTACTTCTCCTGGGAGGAATGGGGTCTCCTTGATGAGGTACAGAGATGCCTGTACCACCATGTGATGCTGCAGAACTTGGCACTTATATCCTCACTGGGTAAGGCCCTCATACCCTCCTCTGTGTCCTAAGCTAGTCTCTGGTCCCTGGGTTCTGCTTCCTTCCCTAGTTCCCCATTAGGTGCTGTGGTTGGTTGGACTGAGATGTGTGCCCTGCCTTGTCCTTCCTTGAGCAGTCCCAGTACCTTCCCTGCAGACTCCCAGGCACAGATGCTGGGTCAGGAGTTATGCAGTCATGGATCCCACCATGTTTGCCCTCTCCCTAGGCAGGTGAATTGTCCAGATCCAGGGCCCCTGTGTAACCCAGGTTCCACTTCCTTCCTCTAGCTGACATTTCCTTATTTTTGCTTGTGCCAGAATTTGCCATCACTGACATGGTCTCCTCTTATGTTGACCATGGCCTGTTCTTGCAAGTTCTGAAGTTTTCTTGCATTAGTTTTCTCTTTGTGGTTTATCATGTGCTGAGTTCTTTTTGGCCAGTGCCGACTGCTCATCTGTTCTTTATCTACCTTAGTACTTGATTAATCCAGGTTCCATGTAGTTCCTTATTAAGGGATTGTGGGGGAGAGGTTCACAGGATGGAAAGGAATCTGACTACAGCAGGGTGAACTCAAACATAGCCTGGTCCTGAGAAGTGGTACCTTGGAGAGGGCATGTCAGTGCTGTGTACAAATAATGCCGGAAACCTCTTCTGCTTGACTAGTCCTGGTGCTAATCAGTGGCAGCTGCACCTTGTTTCTCTGTCCTTCTCCACTCCTTACACTTAAGCACCTTCTCAATTCTATTATTTGTCACTTTTAGTTCAGGGATAATCCTCACTTCTCCAGACGGCATATCAGTATTTTTCCACATTGGTTCATCTGCAGTGCTGTCCAACATTGGCCTGGACATTTTGTGCCATGAGGCGTGCACATTCTTAATTCTTGAATACTGGCTGCTTTGTTAGTTTGTTGTTCCTGGGCCTGGACACGACCTTCTACATAGCACTTGTGTGTCACCAGCAGACAAGGTCCTGCTAAAAGCTGTTTGCAGGCAAATGAGCTGTATACGCTGCTCTCATACCACTCCCCATGGTTGTATCCTTCAGCTTGTGAGGGCTTCCCCATTCTGTGATCTTCAAAGGCCCAGTACTGCTAAACAGCCTCATTTTCAACCTGAACCCAAGCTTACCTGGTCCTACAAACAATCCTATGAACTCATTCTTGGGTTTGTCACACATTTGTAATGGGGCTGTCTCCTCATGTAGTCACATGCACTTTACCAGCATTTCTCTACTTTCAGGTAGTTGTCATGGAGAAGAGGATAAGGAGGCACTGTCTGAGCAAGGTATTTCTTCTGTTCAAGGAGGGTCACAGATCAGGACTGTCAAGGCAAGTCTATCTCCCCAGAAGGCCAAGCCTTGTGAAACATGTGGCCTGATCTTGAGTGGCATTTTTCATTTGGCTGAGTACCAGGGAACATGTCACAAACAGAAACTATGCATGTATGGGGCACATGAGAAATCACCCTATTTCAGAACAAACCATCAAAACCAAAAGCAGCACACTGGAGAAAAACCATTGAGAAGTGATGTGAAGAGAGTCTTATTTGTGAAGAGCTGCAAACTCTGTGTCTCAAGGAAACCCTTTTCTTTTGGGGAAGATGGGAAGGACTTCCTGGGCAAGTCAGGATTTCTTCACCAACAGACCACTCACACCAGGGAGAAGTCAAATAATGGAAATGAACGTAGGGATACTTTTCCAAGGAAAAAAAATGATTACAGCCGGATAGGTTGCACAGAAACTTTCAGCCACAAACACACACTTATTCAGTACCAGAGAGTCTTCACTAGAGTAAAATATTACATGTGCAGTGAATGTGGAAAATCCTTCGGCAAAAGCTCCCACCTCATTAGACATAGGAGTGTTCACA